CTGTCCTCTTCTGGTTTTTGTGTGTGTGCATTGGATGCTTATTAAAAGTAAGGCATTGACAACTCTGGTGGCTCAGTTGCTCTGCTTATCAAAGTACCTCAGACAGACACTTTATTGGGAGTAGCAGCGAACCCCAAGCTGCTCTATCGGTATGTCCTAATTCTCACTTGAAGGGACTATCTCAAGGAGCACTGCGGGGTAATTGTCTCCCCAGTTGTTTAATCCTTGACTCTTCTGAAACTGCCAACAAGGGTGCCAGTTGTGCTAGTGTTATTTTGTGATGTGGCTGCCTGTCCATAGGGAAAACAAATAACATCAGCAAATTCATTTTACATAGGCCACTGCCCAGCTGTTAGTTGATCACAATTGTCTTTGCTTGCATTCTTACAAGGGGTGAGGCAACCCTTTCATCCTGTCTGCTGAGTAACATGGGTTTTACTCAGTTGTCTCTTGGGGTATATCTACACTGTTGCTGGAGGGTAAAATTTCCAGCTTTGATAGATGTGCCCACTGCAGCATTTTGACAGGAGTAGCATTACGACACAATGCAGCTTCGTTTCAGATTGATGGAGTATTACATGCTGTGCAGACACCATTATCAATGGCCCAGTATTGTGGCACTGAGACCTCACTTTGTCCACAACAGTTGTACATGGGAATGCTGTATGCTGGTTATTTTGAAGATTGAAGCTAGCCACCACTGAAAGGCTGGCAGATAAAACTAACTGAACAGGGTCAGGGGAGAACACCAAGGTAGGTGTCGGAGGCACAAGACATCTCAAAGCCAGAAAATAAATGTACCAAAAGAATGTATAGATTATGGTGTTAAAAATAAAGGGAAAGTTGAAAAAGATTTGACAAGATAAGAAAACTTCTTGTGCCTGTTTCATTTAAATTTAAGATGGTTAAAAGCAGTGTTTGTCTTGTGCATAGTGAAGTTTTAAAGCTGTAAGTCAACTTTCAGTTATAAGCTTTTGAAAGAACAATTGTCACAGTTTGTTCAGTTAGGGACAGTCTGCATTTCAGAGAGGTTTCTAAGGCGAAGGTTCTATTGTAATAGATGTATTGTGCACTGTAAGAGACATTTCATATGTAGTCGGGGGACCAACAGAATTGCCGGGCCACTGTGCAAGGTGACATGGGCTGGCTCTCTGTTCCTCAGCACTGCCTGGAGTGGGCTGCACAGTGGCTCATCTTCCCAACAGCTTTCAGAGCTTCCTGGAGCACACTGTATGGTGCTCCGGCAGTGGCCAAGGACTCTGGCTACCTCCGCTTCTGTGGTAGCAGCAGCTGGGAACCCCAGGTGTCCTTTTGAATTGCTGGGTTCTGGGGCAACTCTACCCTTTGCCCCCTCCCCCCGTTGACAGGCCTGTGTAGAATATTTTAGATCCGAGATCCCCAAATGGTGGGGCATGCCCCCTACAGGGGTTCTAAAGAATATTCAGGGAGGCATGGCTTGGACCTGGGTCAACCCCTCATGGATACTAAGGAGGAAGTGCCACCCAGCTTTGCTCCCAGTCCCAGCTGCTAGCCCTGTGCCTGGTGTCCTGTTGGTTGTTTCTATGCCTGGAGCTCTGTTCCCTGTGCCCCAGCTCCTGCCCTGAGCTTTGGCCTTTTACCCTAGTTCATGTTCCCTCTTCTGAATCAATGGCCTCAATTCCAGAGGGCGGAGGCAGACAGGGGTAAGGGAAAGCTCAAGGTAAAAAGTTTTGGGTCCACTGTTTCAGACTTATGTCCATCTTTGCATACACAAATTGTGCATGATAAAAAGGCCTTTTTCCTTTGGGGATGATAAGTTAAATATACTCTATAAACATCCTTAATCAGGTATGGCCAGCTTGAAATAAGATACATGCACATCACTTTTCAGTTTCTGTAAAAGTAACTAACTATACTTTTGTTATTCATAGTAATAATGAATGCTGTAATATACTTAAGCATTAAAAAATATCCTCTGAGTCTTTCAGTCACTATTAAAATATTTTGTTCACAATGATGGAATTTGGTACCTTGTTTTGGACCATCCCAGTTCTCAACCAATATAGTTCAGGCTAAACGAGATGTGACCTGTTGAAAGTATCTGAGAGTGATGCACTCATATTCTGTAAGTTTCTGGTCAGAGTTCAAGGTATTACTTCAGTCTCTGAACTGCTAAATAGAGTGGGATGTAAATCATTTAGGGGCCCAAAAGGGTAAACTTTAGGTATCGTCTCTCTATAATTCTGCTGCACTTGTAACTGTTAGATGCACTACATATCTTAGGAAGAGACAGTGTCTAAAGTAGACTAAGATTTAAATAATTTGGAGATCCACTGGTTAAAATGTGTTTTCAACGAGGGGTACCTTACTCTTGGGATTCACTTTCTCCTCCGCCCCTTAGTTCATCAGATCCAGATTTATTAACTTTCTCTGTGTGCTTCAAAGCCCCCTTCGTTCCCAGACTTTTGAAGAGAAACATATATGTAGACCTATAAGACAGGTAGGTAAAGAGAGAACAGAGTCAGGGGTTTGAAGCCTGGTGAGAGAGATTTCTTCTTTGGGCAGCTGTCGAAAGAATTTTGAAACTGAATATTATGCTGATTTTGAAATCTAGTGGTTTCTTAATGTGAACATGGGAAGGGTGAAAAAAATGTCCATTGTGAGAAGCTATTGGAATACATTAATAAGTAACACATAGGAGAATGAATAGTAGGTAACTTCTAAGAACTAAGATCAAGGATTTTATGTTATCTTAGATTGCTGGCAATTACAATAGTTGGCTCAGTTAGCTGTGGGTTATTACACTCCAGGCTTCTTTTACAGATGTATAAAAAGGCTTATGTTGCTTAGTTTTTATATTAGCAGTAATAGGGCCAATTTGATGCTATCAGATAAAATAGAGTCATGAACACATAAGTAAGGAACATGTTAAGATCATTGTGCTTTAAAAGCCACCTTTTTGATTCTTTGTCTAGCTAGTCATGCTACAATGTAATATCTTTGGTAGCTGGTGATTCTTTGGCTCACTGCAGTAAAGTGACATGCTCTATATGATAGGGTGTCAATGGAATATAATTGTATTATGTAGCTATATAAATGTTATGGCAAAGGTCAGACATTTAATCAGGAGACCACTGATCACTTAATAACATTCTTATAGTGCCTTTTATTAATGCATGCTTAAATTTTTTCGGCATGTTAGTGTTGTTGTAAGCAGCAAGGTTAATAGATTGTTCTGTGACTTTTATTTTATAAATTCTGCAGCAGTTATTGGCTTATCTCAACAATCGACTAATGACCACAAAATTCCAAATACCCTTGGCTGAGTGAGACTCTTTTGAAATGTGCTAGTTGGCTTTAGATTCTGATGAAGTTCAGAGGAAGAAATGGGAGGCAGTCACCCCCTTTCACTCAAGAGGGGTGAGAAGAAATAAAGGATGGCAATCTAAGCAAAAATACCTAAGCCAGCTCTGTGGTGGGGACAGTGTGTGTAGTTCATTGAACGGCAAGATGATTTTTCTGACAGTTGATTTTAGGAAAGGATTGACATAATCTAGTTTGTATTTGCCTCAATCTTTAAACTCTTTGATTAAATGGTATTACTTTATCAGCAATGAGGACTTGCTTATCCCTGAGGGCCCAGGACAAGATGCTGTACTTCTGCCTTGTGCCTTTCTTTGACCTTTCATGACCACCTTGCAGGTCATATTCCATCTCCTTGTGATGGGTTTCCCCCTTGGGATGTAACCTCAAACTAGGACACCACTGAGACCTCTGTCTTATCAGTTCAAATTTCCTATATCCTGAGACGTTGTGACCAGCTGCAAAACCCTCCAATCTTGCCCTCACACAAACATCTATAGGGTGGGGCCACAGCCACCCAGTTCATGAATGTTCTGCCAGCCACTGCATGAATCAACAATAGAAAGGCTCCAGCCAAAACATATCCTATTATGAGATTGCTTTGGGTGTTTTGATTAAAGATGTTTGAAAATGACATAATGCTGCTCTTCCTTTCATCAGAGACCAGCAGAAATAGTAGATGAGGAAGAAAATGAAGAGGAAGAAGAGGGAGATGAAAGAGAAATGAATGGAGGAGATCAGGGAGAGGAAACAGGCGAGGCTGTTAATGGAAATAATCTTGAGAAAACAGATGAGAATTATGAAGAAGAGCAGGAAGAAGAGAATCTTGAACAATGTGAGGAAGAGGGCCCTTTCCACTTAAATGGTGAAACAAATGAAGAAAATGGTGAGGAAATGGAGCAGTTTAATGATTACAATGATCTTCATCCTGAAGAAGAAACAAAATCACAAGAGGACTTTGACAATCAAAACCAGGTAATAGCTTATTCTTTCAACCTTTAAAAAAAAAAATAGATATTGCCTCATTTATTCCAGCACTAGCTCTCTGTACTGCCAGTTTAGTCCAACTGAGCCACGATGGCGCCCTTACACTTGGGCTGTGTCTAGATTGGCCAGTTTTTCTGGAAAATCAGCCACTTTTCTGGAAAAACAGCCGCTTTTCTGGAAAAACTTGCCAGCTGTCTACACTGGCTTCACTGTCTACACTGGCTCCTACTGTAAGAAATCAGTGCTTCTTGCGGAAATACTATGCTGCTCCCGTTCGGGCAAAAGTCCCTTTTGCGCAAAACTTTTGCGGAAAAGGGCCAGTGTAGACAGCTCAGATTTGTTTTCTGCAAAAATCCCCAATCACAAAAATGGCGATCGGGGCTTTTTTGCGGAAAAGCGCGTCTAGATTTGCCAAGGACGCTTTTCTGCAAAAAGTGCTTTTGCGGAAAAGCGTCCATGCCAATCTAGACACTCTGTTCCGAAAATGCTTTTAACTGAAAACTTTTCCTTTAAAAGCATTTCCGGAAAATCATGCCAGTCTAGACGTAGCCTTGGAGTCTCATGGAGTTTCAACTTGCAGGAAAGCTATTTTCCCTCATATACAATTTTATGGCTACAACTGCAGAATACTTTCTTCAACTGGCAAACCATAGACTTAGAGAAGATTAGGGTTGGAAGAGACCTCAGGAGGTCATGTACTCCAACTACCTGCTCAAAGCAGGGCAAACCCCAACTAAATCATTCCAGTGAGGGATTTGTTAAGCTTGGCCTTAAATTCCTCTAAAGGAGGGAGATTCTACCAGCTCCCTAGCAATCCATTCCAGTGCTTCACCACCCTCCTTGTGAAATAGGTTTTCCAAATATCCAATCTAAACCTCCTTCACTGCAACTTGAGACTATTGTTCCTTGTTCTGTTATCTGCCACCACTGAGATCAGACTGGCACCATCCATTTGATAGTTGAAAGCTGCTATCAAATTCCCCCCACACGTGGCCCCCAGCCCCACCTACAGCCCTGCCCCCTCTGTTGAGGCCTCACCCCTCCCATCATGGGGAGAGGAGGAGGCGGGGCAGCGTGCCGTGCGTGTGCGCCCTGTCACACAGGGAACAGAAGAGACAAGAAGGCGCATGCCCCAGCCTCCGCTGGAGCACTAGGGAAGAAGGAGGCCAAGTGGCTCTAGCCTCCCTGGCCCCTGCAGTCACCAGGGAGGAAAGAGGCTGTGGAGGTCCAGCCTCCCCTGTCCTCGGGCACCAGGGAGGGAGATAGCTACATGGCTCCAGCCTCCCCAGCCCCTGGAACACAGAGAGGGCAGGTGCTCGGAGCAGCAACACTCCACCCCCAGAATTCCTACAGCAGGTGGAGTGGGGGTGGGACCATGCCTGGTGGTTTGGGAAGGCAAAGTCTTCCCCCGCCTAGGCTACCAGATGCCGATGCCCCCTCGTTCCTCTCTTCATGTATTTGTTGCTCCATCTCTCTGGCAGGCCTTTGTCTTATCTTTGTCAGTAGGTAGGGTGTTAGAAATCACGACTTCAAGAAGAGCAGGGTGATTGTATATTTCAGTCTTCACTTCCTCCATCGGACATAGCAGGGGGACAGTGGGATGTGCACGAGCATGTCTACTGGTTCATGAAACCAGTGCCTTGTTTGTTTAGTTGAGTTGCCCTGGACAGAGGCTGCATTTAAGATGTGTTGCTTCCCTCATCTCAGGGCAGCCTTAGTGATGTATTTAATTTTTATATTTTCAGATAGAAAATTACAGTTAAACAAAAATCTTAAAGGCAGGGTATTTCTCTTCATGGGATGTCAAAACACAAGTCTTGTCCCTTAGGGGAGGCATGCCACATACTTAGGGAAGGTACCTGATGCTGTACTCCTCCATTTGCTGATAGGAGAGGGTCTTCAGCTACAGAAAATGGAATCAGAATTGCCAGTAACAGATGGACTACCCCATGTATTGGGTAACCAGAGAAATGATAGATTTCCTGAGATTACAGGTGGCTGGGAGGTAAATGCAGCATGGCACTTCCTGACTGAATTCCTGTGTCAGGTGTAGGACAACTGGGGCCAGCTCTCTAATTGTCTCTCTCTCTGTATAAAAAACATTGTTCCCTCAGGATGACAGTGATGTCATCATGTTACTCTGTTGCCCTGCTCCCCCCCAGCTTCCGTAGACTCAGAAGTGGAAGCGGCAGCTATGGCTCGGGATTCTCTCCAGACCCTCCTTGCAGGGGGGTGTCCTTGACTCCTTGCTGATGCCTGGCTTCCCTGCAGGAGGGCCAGAGGCTGCCGCTGCCTCCGGCCCCACTTCTACTTCTGGGTCTGGGGCCCCGATGCTAACCGCTACCACCACCTGCCTCAGGCCAGGCACTTGGAATGCTGCCTGCCTCACCTGTCTGGTGCTCCAGCCTCATGCCCCCCCCTCCCTTGCAAGCTTAGAGCATCAGTGCTGGCAGTCTGTGGGGTGGTGGGAGGAGAAAGCACCGAGGCTCTGTGCCGGATCCGTCTTGTGGGGTAGCGTGTGCGCTGCTTTGAGGAGGGGAGCAGTGCATGTGTGCACTTCCTTGCAAGCCAGATCCAGTGCAGAGCCTTGGGATGTTCTCCTCCCTTCCCCAGGAACCCGGAACTGGTACTTTAATCTTTCCGGGGGGAGGAGGGACTTGGGGAGGGAGGGCACGAGACTGGAGCACCAGGCAGGCAAAGCAGGTGGCAGCCCAAGCCTAAGGCAGGTGGAGGTGGCAGCTTCCCCATTGGAGCAGTGGGGAAATCCTCCAGTGCCTGGGAGTGGCACATGGCATGAAAAGAAGTGTCTCTCCCAACCCGTCATGCCCAGACCCCGCACCTCAGTGCCTCATGCATCTCTTCCCCACTGCACCCCCAGCCTGCTCCTGCCCCCTCCACCCTGGCCAGACACCTGATTCCAAATTTCTCCCTCCCCCTGGCCAGACACGCTGCCCAATTGGGGCCCAGCCCCATCTGGCCACAGTGTCCTGTCTTCAGCCCTGATCCTGGGGCAGGCTCCGTGGTTCAGTCCCCATCTGGCCATAGGAAGGGCTGATGGCAGCCCACATTCTGCTGTGGCACGGGCAAGAGGGGAGGCCACAATCTGGCTGTGGAGAATGGGGGTTTGGCGAACATGGAGAACAGAGCGTGCAGCCCCCTAGTAAACCATTAAGAAGTGAAAGTTCCTGTACCTTCCATGATGCTCAGGATAGTCTCTGTCATGCTTCTGAATACTGGGATTTATTTTGACCCATTTGTATGACACACAAGAACATTAAAAAAAAAAAAAAGATTATCAGACAAATATGCAACAGTAGCATTCTCATCAGATGTAGGGTTTGTTACATTCAGAGCTTGATATGTTGATGGAATGTTTTTGGGAATTGTGTGGACAGTCATGTGGCTGGAGAGTATGAGAGGGCTTATGTCACAAAGTGAGACTACATCTTTGGGAGGTTCGGTTTAGAAGGGCTTCTTGCTCAGATAGGGATATAAACAGGAAAATATTCTAAATTGAACACTGGTTCTACTGCTTTCACATTCATTCATATGCTTATCTGGTGGAAGGACCCCGTGTTTGTATAATCTACCCTAGAATGTTACGTTGGCACATGCCTCATATCTGTTGTTTCACTTGAAGAATTGTTAGATTCTGGTGTGGACTCCATAATTGTACATTGACATGCAATGAAGTCTCTTATCTGCCAAGCTTAAAATACCTATGTTTCTAATTCCTCTTTTTTCTCTAGATTGACTGTCATCTGGAAAAACCATCAAATCCAAGAGTAACTATCACCAGCCCACAGGGAAGTGAAAAAAATGACCAAACAAATGAGTACGCTGCTGTAGCATAGACTTTTAAAGAGTAGATAAGCAGAAAATGAAGGATTGTAATATTGGAAATGTAAAACATGTTGTTATCTGTGATTGGTAACTTATAATGAATGTGAAGATACAGCTGAGTACCACCTACTGAGTCTTGAAATGATAATGCCATATGGATTGACAGAGATAATGAACATCCTATTAAAGGGAAGATTGAATTATTTTTACAATATGTGGCTTACTGATGAGATTTTAGGGGAAAATGTAAGGACTTTTGTTTAGAAATACTATAAATAAGTGAGTTATTCCTTCTTTGTTATTAGATGATAGTACCAACCTGATGTGGTAGCATTTCACCATGCTCCAAAAAAGCATCAGATTATTCAGTAATTTTGTTTAGAAAAGAGTATTTTGTGACTTCTAATGGAAAAATGTATAATGCTTTTCTTAGATTAATAAAACAGCTAAAATATTAGGTATACTTAATTTCCATGCTTATAATTTAGAGATAATGGGCCAGATTCTCCTATTGATGGAGTTCACCTCATAAAACTGTAGTTGAGAATCTATCCTAATTAGATGTTCAAAATTGGATAGTGGCTTTCCAGGAAAGCCAGCAGCATTAGTGGTGGTTCTATTAATAAAAAGCACATATGTAGCATCATGAATAGAGAGGAGAAGAAAGAGACTTAATACTGCAACCTCATCCATGTACTCAGATCCTTTCTGTTGCAGGAAGACCCACTGCCTTGAATAGAACTCTGCACAGATGTAGGATTTCTGCATGCACATAAAACAGTTTGCAGGATTTGGGCTCTAGAGTAGAATTGGGCAATATTTTTCAGAAGCATAAGTGAGTCAAAACTTAACTGCAAACTAGTCAAAAATCTGCCATGAATTTGCTGAATAGTTTCAGCCAAAATTTTTTTGGCTGACTTAGGACCATTCTCAAAATGGCTGGAGTAGGTGATGTTGAGTAGAACATTTGCCTGTGATGTGGGAGGCCTGTCTTCAATTTCTGCCTCTGCCAGGGATTGGAAATCAGTCTCCCACATCTCAGTAGGATTCCTTAGCCACTGGGCTGAAGGTAATAAGAGAACAAACACCACCACTTCCTCCTCCAGCTCTTTAATGACTTTTGATTCTGCTGAAATACTCATCAGTTTTGGTTTGGGTTGAACTGAATCCTTTTTCTTTGAAGTGCCTGCAAAACAAAAATATCAGTTATTCATCCAGCTTTAGTATAAAAGACAGCTTCTTTCAAATATCCCCGCATATGCTAATATGTTCACTTTTCAAAACTGGAAAGTTTATCCAGTCACAATACTGATTTTTAACTAACCTTTTACAACAAATATTAAGAAATTTTAAATCTTTGTGGTAGATTAATGAGAGAAAATGTATTTCTGTTTTAGTTTTGAAAAGTTGGGCTGAGATTGATTTTTAGACATCAGCCAATGAGAAACTAATTTATAAATGAAAACACTAGCCTACATCCTTAGCTGACATAACTCAGTTTAGCTTCACCAATGTCAGTGGAGCTATCTCTGTTTACACCACTTGATGATCTGGCCTGTTAGGTTTTTTGCACAAAACTTAGCTCTCAGTTCTCTATGTATTAATCCTGAGCATAGTCCCTAAAGTTTAAAAATGGTACTTCATCTGGAGCAGTAAACTGGTTCCTGCTAAGCTGAGTTTTCATGTGCACTACTATATAAGAGTATCATACAGAATATTGGTTATCTTTATTACATTGGTTTTTTTCTATGCCTCAACATGTAAAACCACTGTGTTGCGAGTCATAGAAATTAAAATTTCTCTAATCTTAAGCATTTTAAACTAAGTATACGTATGTGGTAGAGGTTTCTTGGCTTTGATTTTAAGTAGTTTTTGTGTGTGTTAATACTAACAAATTACTACTAAACATTTTCTTTTTGTGGTTATCATGTAGTTAATATTTTTAAGTTTATTGTAAGCAATTGAAACATACTACAAAATGTAAAAAAACAAACAAACCCAATCCACTTATAGTAATTGAAAACCACCTAACCTATATTTCCTCTAGCAGATATATTGATATTTCCCCCAATGAAATAGTAATGTTTGTTAACCGTCCAGTGTAACTCTCAGTATTGGCAATATAGATATATCAAAGGTGACATTCAAAACCATAGGAACCAAGCCTGTACATGTTGCTAAAATTCAAAGATAAACTTTTATAGTGTTTATGTTTGGGCGTGGTTTATGGAACTGGCCTGGACTAAGCACTGGGGAGTATTCCCATTGGAACAATTCTGCATTTGGAAACCATGATTCAGCAAAGCCCTAGCATGTGCTTAATGCCACCTTTATTCAGCAGATCACATAGGATTTCATTAAGTACTTTGCTGAAGTCCCAATGATTTCCGGGAACATACACATATGCTTAAAGTTAAGCACATATTTAAATGAATGTTGTTTACATTTTAAGCAACAGTTAAACTCGTAGAAGAGCTATAGGCACCCTGACAGTTAATCTTCCAGTAGTTAAACACTATTTGAATTTAGTTAATCAGCTGCAAAAATAAAATAAAATAAAATAAAATAAAAATAAAAATCTGTATCTTCTCTGAGTACATATGCTCGGCTTTCTGTAAAAATCCTAGGAAATAAAAGGCTGCAGTAGCATGCTTTGCTCAGTCAAAATTAGATGGTTCATATGCTTAGTTAGTATTAAGCACATGCCTAATGCTTTGCTGAATTGGTAACTAGGGCACTGATCATGGCTTTGTGCCTATGTTGAGCCCCCAGAAGTCAGTGGGGTACATGTAGTGCAGAAATGGATCTCTTGATACAGGACTAGAGACCAAATAGGTACAATATATATATTTGACCATAAGCCCATTCATTCATAAGCTGCCCCCCTCCCCCCCAACTTAAAAAATAGTAAAAATCACAATGACTTGTTCATAAGCCGACTCTATATTGGCAGTTTGCAAACTTCTGGCCTCAGCTCATCAGTGTAAGCCGCTGGCATGTCAGGACATTTTGTTTACCTGGAGTGTCTGTAGGAATGGAGCTTCTTATCTCCCTTTTGGGTGCTGTTCACCATTCCCAGCCAATGGGAGCTGTGGGAAGCAGTGCGGGTCAAGGGACATGACTACTTCCCGCCACTCAGTGAACACAACCGCTGGAACCTAAGGGGCCCCGTGCCTGCAGATACTCCAAGTACATAAAATGTCCATGAGTGCCAGCAGTTTCCCCTGCTGGGCTGGGATCTGAAGTTTACCAACTCCCCAAGTTAAAAAAAACTTGGTAAAATGCAATGACCTGTTCATAAGCCGACCCCTGCTCTCTACTATGTCACTTTTTACAGAAAAAATTAGGCTTATCCATCTTCAGTACTTGTGATTTTTCCTCGTATTCCCAGGATCAACACAGATAGCAAACCTGAAAACTAAAAACTTTAAAGGGACAAATACAAATTTTGTCTGAAATTTTTTCGTCTCTAACATGCTGTTTACAAATCACAGTGTACAGTAAATACATTGATGTTGTAACATTAGTCATCTATAATTGGTTTAGAAGAAAAATATGAGTTATTGTGATAAAATAGTTTATCAAGCCTTGGTTTAGGAACTAATCCCCCTTTTATACCATTGATTCCTATGGGAAAAGCAGTTTCAATTTACAACATTTTGACTTACATGCAATTTTGAGGAACGAATTGTGTTGTATGTCTGAGGACACCCTGTATATAGTTGTATTAAGTCCACCTACCAAAGGAAGATTTATTACACTATATAATATTAAAGGAGAAAATATTGTAGAAGGGGGCCTGCACTTTGGTTTTAAGTCCCAAGACACTTGATATTAGGCCAGATTTGGGACAGTTGACTTAACTACAGTCTTGTTGGTTAAAATGCAGTTGGTGGGGTCTTACTTTTTTTCTCAGAATCAAATTGCATATATAGTTCTTGCAAATACAGCACTATATTGCTTTTCATGACATAGCAATATGTGTGGGTGTGGGTGTATGCCTGCATGCATGTATGTGGATTGGTCAGGATTTTTGAAGGTGACTGTTCACATTGCGTGCCTCAGCTTCTGTTGCCACCTTGACACTCCTTGATGAAGCTAATTTTTCAGAAGATGAATCCCATGTTTCCCAAATGAGAAGTGGGGAAACTCTGTTTACCCTTGACCACTCTGCTGAAGTTTATTTCCTTTGGACACTAACATTCATGTATCACTGATCATCTTTGAAAAGCTTAGCTGTAAGGAAAAGAGGCATCTCATTAGTGTGCTTATACATGTACAAGATAGGACTTTGTCTTTCTGGTGAACAGATAAAAATGTTGTTACTCATTGAATACCAACTATGCAGAATAAAGTCCATAGAGAGCCCAAGAAATTTTCAAAGCAGTTTCCTAATGTGTATACATGCTAGGCAGTTAAAGGAGGAGATTAAGCCCCCAATTCACAAAGAATGTAAGCATCATGCTTAAGTGTTAAGGTCAAAGTTAAGCACATGCTTAAGTGCTATGATGAATCGTGCCTAAAAAAAGTAAGTTTATACAAGGAAATGGAAATGCCTTACAGCTTCAGTGAATGAAAAAGTAAAGACAATTTTTTAAAATGCCATCTAAAATAAAACTAAATAAATACTCCTTGTCTGTTACCAGACAAGAGAGATTCTGTCCAAAATGAGAGTCAATAAAAAAATACTGAAAAAGATTGTTGGCCATGGATATCTTAATGTCTGATTCAAATGCTCATTAACGTGGCCTTTAGAATGACCATATAAAGTACCTTGAGGAATTTTATTACAATTATTTTACTATACAAGTTACTTATTTTTTAAACTGAAACAGCCATAGAGGGCACAGGAGTGGTGATATCCTTGCTAGTGGCTGGATAAGAACTGCACACGCAGCTAACCTGTGCTGAACCTCACATTTTTATTGTTCATCTTCTTACCAGGATGTCTAATTGTAAGTTGTTGGAGATGGGACTGTCATTTACGGTGGGTTTACAGCTGCTAGAACAATGACTAGTGCATTATAACTGTTAAATAATCATTCTAGGAGCAATTGCATAGGAATATTTCCAATTATTTTGGATGGTTGAAAACCTGCTATTTAGTCTCTAGCCAAACAAAGCAGTAGACATGCCAGTATGCAGTAAAATCATTCACCTGCTTATACGTTATTGTTTATGGGCATAGTTTGCCTCAAATTATGTACTAGTATATTCATAGTATGCGATTGAAGTTACAGTATCTGTTACCTTGTTAATGGAAGGTAAGAAATTATTGATTTCAGCTGCTACTTGGTACTGGTTCTAATGGCATTTCACATTATATCTTAGCTACTGAAAAAGAATGATGCATATATTTAAAGTTTTAAGCACATGCTTTGCTTCACTGAGATCAGAACCCTTGAAGAATTGAGTCCTGAATGCAGAGAATAAGAGCAGCCTAGATTTGGCATTGGAGCTCAGAAAAGGATGTGATTGGGCTGGAAAATTCTGGCAGATAATTAAAGCCTTTACAATTACAGGGCACAGCCCTTATAAAATGATTGAAGCCAACTCCTGGCATATCCTGTATGACCATTGTTTTTATAGCAGAGTGCCAGCACTTAATTTGTGACAGGGCTGAGTCATGGCACCTCTGGACTTGCTGGATCAGTTATGAATGTTAAAAAAAAAGGCTTGAGCCTCCGTGCCTTTTTTCATACAAATTAACTGCTACAGAGCTCTCCACTGGTTTCAAATCAGTGGTATGATTGACCTTCCTTATAGAATCATTTTACTCTTAGACTGGGGTAACCAAGTGTCCAGTTTTGGTCCAGAATATCCAGTCAAGAAAGGATCCTGGCAACTCTGCTGTGCACCACTGATTGTGCCATTGACTGTCCAGCTGGCAGCACCACCGCACCACGCAGCACCCGAGTCGGAAGGCAGGCAGCATAACCTTTGGGCAGCCAGTCCACGTTTTACCCTGCCCCCCACCTGCGGGTGCTGCTCCCATTGGTAAACTGTAGTCTGTCTGGCACCCAGGAGTTCAAGATATTTGTATCCCCATCTTTGAGGGCTGGCAATGGGGAAACATCTCCATTGTCCTCACTGCATTCCTCCCTCTCTCACTCCCTGCATCCCCATTCTTTCATTGCATTCCTCCCCATCCCAACCCCCATACACCAACAGCCCACCATCGCTGCATCCCTCTCCTGTCCCATCCTGTCCTGCTCCCCACACCTACCCATCTACCTCCAACAGCTCTCTCCCACCCATCCTCTCCACCTCCCAGCGCTACTGATTCACCTCCATACACTGCTGCACTCCCATTATTTATACTCCTCTGCCCCCACCACATCCTCATGTACCTGGAGCCTTCCGCCTCCCCCTGCACCCTTATCCATCTCTCTCTCTCTCTCTCTCACACACACACACACACACACACACACACACACACACACACACACACACACACCCCTCGCTCCTTCACTGCCCCCTCTTATCTCCACCCTGCTCTCCTCCTTAGCCTCTTTCCCACCCCATCCTCTACCCCCATCCCATCTTTTCCTCTTCAGCCCACTCACTTTCCTACCTGGCTGGAAGCCCCTGGAAAAATGTATGAAAAAGTGTCTGTGTGTAGGCATGCATTATATGTGTGTAAGAGACAGCGTGTCTTTGTGTAAGGAGGTGAGTATAATGCCATGCGTGTATATCTGCGTGAATAACATTTGCAGCCTATTTCTGACTTTTTTATTCCTTTTGCTGGCTTGTACTCACAAAAAATGATGACATAAAATAGGTGTGTATTCATTTTATAACAAGATTTTAAAAGGGAAGGAAATGCTAAAACAAATGCATTATTTCTTAAAAATGTTGTTGACCGTTGTTGACTAGTAATTGCAGAAGCAGCAATAAATCACACATTTTTTTGCCACCTTTGTTTAGTTACATTATAAACTCCTTGTTGCTGAGTCTTTTTTTAGATATATGTCCAGCATTTACCACCTGGGAGTTCTGCTCTTCATTGGGGTCTCTAGCCACTAAATAACAATTGTAATATTAAATAATGTGGAAATATGTGTGTTAGTGTGTGCTAAATGTGTCCATGTGAATACCTGTGTATCTGCATATAGGTGTGGGAGTCAGTTTCTACAGATTTATTTCTATAATTATCTGGACAGGTATATTTCTGTGGTTGTGCTCTATGGATCTGTGTATGCCATCGGCTTCAGGAGTGGGCCTGTAATGGACCCACTGTAGCTGTGAGAATGTGTGGTCCTAAGTCCACACACAAAATTACAGTAAGTTTAATTAACCAAAAACATGGAGCTGGTTACAAAAAATGGGAAGAGGAGAGAAAAGAACCATGAAAATCTTTTGTGAAATTTCATTTAAAAAGTTACCATTTTTTATTCTTTTGCTGCTACTTCTAGTGTCCTGTAACAAATAACACCAGAACTTCGCATAACACATCTGTCCACACAGTAAATAAGCCTGTTTGAGCTTTTCAGTGAAAATGAGCACATGAGAGAAGGTGGGAATGGATTGAGCAGGGGTAGGGCCTCAGGAAAGGGTGGGGTTGTGTTCAGGGCAATGGAGTTTGGTTTCTGGAATTAGAAAGTTAGCAACCCTCTTTTAGGCCTTAATCCTGGCAACAATTTATGCATATGCTTAACTGGCATACTGGCAAGTCTCATAGAAGTCGGTGCAAAAAGTTAAGAAGGTACTTACTGGGCTTCAGGCCATAATTTTCAGAATTTGTCCTTTGGTGTGTGCTTGTGTAAACCACACACCTAGTGTGGGTCACTCTTGCAGGGATGAGGTGTATGCTTGGATCAGTTGTTTAAATTACGTAAGTAAGTGTGAAGTAATCCCAGGTGTTTAATGTGAACTTTCCTCTTTTTTAAGAGAAAAGCTCCAAACCCCTATATGTGTTTTCCTTCCCAAGTTATTCTGGTTTCTCAGGGCAGTCCATGCCTGGTGTAAAGCGGGGTAGCTCCACCGACATCCATTAAACTCTGCCAGTTTACAACAGCTGAGCATATGGCCCATGAATTTGTGTAGCATAACACCACAAAAATTTCAGTTTGATTTAATGTATTTTGAACTTGAGGTGGTGGAGCTTCCTGGTGGTAGGCTGAGAGATTTAGGTCCTAAATTCTAGCTATGATAATACAAACATTTAAGTCAGCCCAGGGTGCTGACACAATTCAAATGTTTGTTGTCTTATTTACCTTTTTGTGTCTGTCATGGAATTGCATAAATATTATGGTTAACATTGTGGTAATGTTTTGCATGAGGGGAAACTCTGGAATCCTAGCTCCATTCAAGTTGTCCGATTTGGAATTTTACTTAAAGGTGTTTATATTTCCCAGTCTCCAAAGTGATACTACAAAAAATGCTGTTCAAGGCCAAACCCCTTCCCTCCACACCCAAGTATGGACTTCAGAGAGATGTCCCTGGGCGTGCCCTGCCGCACAAAGAATCCCACCTTCCATATGGCTTTCAGATCTTTTTGCCATCCCTGTTCAAAGGGAGTACTCCAGTTCTGATGCCCAGTCTCTGCATCTACAGTAGAAGAGCAAGTTTTCCCTCTAAGGCAAGTCTGTACAATTAACAAGCTTGCTATCAAGTTATAATAGATGAGAAATCAGGTGGTGTCAAAGAAATGGCTCAATATGTCCAAGAGTATCTTTCACAGCTAGGTGCCTTTCTATTTTCCTACTGTCCAGAGAGAAAGAAAAGCAATGATGACCTGTATTATTTACCTATCTACACCACAATCTTATGGGTACAATATTTTTTTAAACCGGCATTAAGTAAAATATATGTTGCAAAACAAATATATAAATCAAATACTATATTGTAAAATGGTAGAATGCTTTTGTTAGCAGAAAACACCTATTTATTTATAAAGAATATTCTATGTCTACATTCAGCTGTGTGTGTGTTTTTTTCCTCTCCTCCTATTCTAGGCACAACATTGAGGGAAACCAGAGGTCTGTGAGGCAACATGTAAGTGTGAAAATTGCTCAAGAGTTTGACTACTTGAAGTCTATCATACTTTCACAGCTCAATGAAATGCATCTGAAAGTTGTCTGAATATAAACAAATGGGTGGACCCCTGATAGATTTAAGTCAATGGGACAGTGTGCATGTGGCATGGTTCATAAGACTGAACCCTATTTGAGGTAACCAGCTGAAGACTGGATGTATGAAGAGTAGCAAATTTGACAAGAAGGCCATAAGTCACATCAGCAAATTGAGAAATAGTGCTTTCCAGTGACCTTTGACATGAATAGTTGAGGAGTTCCAGTGTGACTATTCAGCATCAGTATTGACTGACATGGTCATGACTTTGAGACAGTATGATCAGAGGTTAAGCCAAGACTTTTAGAATTACAATGAGAATTACATTTCTTAGGACACCTGGCATGATTAATTCTTCATAGTAGAAGGGTTTTGGTTTTGTTTGGTTTTTTGGCAGTTCTCCCAAGCTACATCTACTGTATATTTGAGAAGTATCAGAGGGGTAGCTGTGTTAGTCTGGATCTGCAAAAGTGACAGAGAGTCCTGTAGCACTTTATAGACTAACAGATGTATTGGAGCATAAGCTTTTGTGTGCAAAGATCCACTTCTTCAGATGCATGTAGTGGAAATTTCCAGAGGCAGGTATAAATATGCAGGCAAGAATCAGGCTAGAGAGAACCTCGTTATTCATACAGGGATGTTGCTGGCTGTTCCCCTTAATCAGAAAGCAAGGGAAAAGTGCAGTTTGTTGCGTTCCTCACTTTGGTTGTGGAGCGCAGGAGGCAGACAAATCTGGACTTGCCCTAGCCCAGGGAACATGCATCCCTCCCCAGCCATGCCCAATGGAGCTGCAGCTGCTATGGAGAGGTGCCTCTCACCTGGCCTCAAGCTTCTGTGGTGCAAGAGAGTAGTCTTTTCGCTAGGGCAGCCTATATACTGAACCCCGCATCCCTAGACCCATTCCCAGACAATGATTTAAATGAAGAAATACAAATTTAATTGAGTTAAGGACCCAAGCAACGTCTGGTCAATCTTCTACTTATAAGCATTATTCCTCTTTCAGAAACAATTCCCCTTTGCTGAAATAAAGTGTTGGAATCTATCTGCATGTAGAAAATGTACTAGGGTGGAATACTGAAACACACACTACATTTAAATAATAACCAAGGTTAGTAAATAGACTTTTCTCTGTAAAAATAGTGAGTCATTAAAAAAAAAAAAACCAGGCAAAGCCATGTTAAATGACTACAACCTAGTCAGAGAACCTGACAACACCACTGTCTGCTGTTCCAGTATATGGAACAAAATTAAATCTGTAACATGATAGTTTCTGACTAGAACCATTAATAGGCCTTGGCTTTATCCTGGATACAAGTGAGTCCCAGTTATCCAGCAGTTTGGTTTTCCACCCAGATCAGGTGTTTTCTAGCTACGGAAAGGCTTGCTGTGGGAGGGCGAGGTGGGGCAGGGCGCTAGGAGGGCGGGGCAGGGCAGG